ACAATGGATGCTACTCGGATTGCTCATCTTTATTTCAAAGAGATTGTGCGTTTACATGGTGTTCCACAGTCAATTACTTCTGATCGTGACACTAAGTTTATGAGTCATTTCTAGAGGAGTTTGTAGGAGAAACTTGGAACGAAATTGAATTTTAGCAGCGCATACCATCCCCAAACAAATGGTCAGACTGAGGTGGTGAATCGGAGTTTGGGAAATCTTTTGAGAAGCTTAGCCGGGACTAAACCGAAGCAATGGGATTTGGCATTACCTCAAGCAGAGTTTACTTATAACCGGTCGAGGAATAGAACCACTGGACTGAGTCCTTTTGAAATTGTCTATGGTCAGAACCCATCCGGAGTACTTGATTTGGCTCCAATTCCACGTGTGGGTCGCTTCAATAACAAAGCTGATGAGATGGCTGAACATCTTCGAGGTATCCATGAGCAGGTGAAGCTGTCCATACAGGATAGTAATACTAAGTACAAAGTTCGGGCAGATAGTCATCGACGCCAGGTGTTGTTTGATGTTGGTGATTTTGTTTGGGCAGTATTAACTCGTGATCGTTTTCCAACTGGGGAATACAATAAGCTAAAGGAGCAGAAGATTGGACCTTGTGAAGTGCTGCAGAAAATCAGTGATAATGCTTACAGATTGCGCCTCTCGAGCCATTTGAAGACCTCTGACGTCTTCAATGTAAAACACCTAAGCCCTTGTTTTATGGAGTCCGATGAAGTTACTGTGAACTCGAGGGCAAGTTCTTTCCAACTCGGGGCGACTGATGCAGGAGGATCCGAGTCGAGTGATGCTGATTTGTCAGATAGCACGATGATGGCGCTGAGATACCATGAGATGGCGGATTGGCGTAAAGATGGAAAGTGAATCACCATTATTTCCTTAATTGGGGGAATTTGACGCGTCTTTGGTAATTTGGCCATAACTTTGGCTACGGTTATCGGAATCGCTATTATGACCCCAATCCAGAAAGCTCTCTTCGGCGCGCACATCGTGGCCACCCAGCTATGCTCGGTAGACGTCAATCTCGAACCCAAAATCCACTGTTTTCCTTTCCAAAATTCAATTTTAAGTTATTTTTTATTATTTATGGTAATATTTTGTTTCCTTTTTTCCATATGTTAGAAAACTCGAATTGAGCCAAATTTTTGGCAACTTACTCCTTTTACTTAATATTTTTTTTTGGTATAATTTCGGGATTTTGCCATTTTTGATAATTTTCCCATAATTTCGTATTTCGCAGCTATTTAACCCGGCTTGTGGGTTAGTTTTGATCATTCTGCATTATTAATAATATTGAGTTGAATTCAAAGTATCTTCTCTAGTTTTTTGGGCGTTTTCTGTCGTTCTTTTCTTGCGAATCATCTGCTACAATAAGCCAATAGGATAATCACTATCCTACCCGGCATCAGCATATATGTAAGGTGAAAGGTCATTGTACTAGGATAAATCGAATTCTGACAAAATATTTAATCTTTTTTCCATTTTAAACTGAGCATATAAGGTGACAGGTCATTGTACAAGGAATTCTAACAAAATTTTTAATTTTTTATAATTCAATTCAAAATTATTCTGCAAATTTATATATAATTTTAATTTGTTTATAACCAAATATGTGAATAAATTTACTGCTAAACAAAGTCCAAAGCCATCTGCATTTTTAGCATAACAATGAATGAATACTCTACTTTAGCATATTGAATTTGACTACAGCAAACATTATCATTCATAAAACCAATAAACTCTACTTTACTTAAAAGAGAATCAGATATACTTTTTAGTATCTTATTTTTTTTAAAACATGTATATAAATAACTTCGTCACATGATTAAGTGAAGAGTAATTTACATTGCTAGGAAGGTAAAAGAACTTTCAAAAAATCATTTGAAAAAATCATAATTAATTATTTACTTTGAAGTAAATCTTTTGAACCTAGCTAAACATGCCAGTCTGTGGACATCAATAAATCGGATTCATCGGTCTTTGAGCATTGTGTTTCAATCACTAATCATAATTGGTTTTACTATTTAATCACCTTGTACACAAAATACTAGTAAAATCTCTTTCTATTCGAATTTATATGGATTAATTGACCATTTCTATCAAATTTAATTATCTTTATTTTCTTTTCTAAAGCTACTTAATTCAGGCCATGTAATTGTAGAAGGGAAATAAAAACTATTATTGAATTTGAGAACATGAATAACATTTCATCTCTTGATGCAAACCATTACTTGAACACGAGATAAAGGGCTTGTAAACGCATCTTCTATTAACTGCGATTTTGCTATTAACTGCAATTCTTTTAGAGAACCAAACGTGTCAAAGTGTGTCGCCATGCATGAATTCTTGATCCGATAGAAGACGCAAAAAGATACATGGAGATCGGGATTACCTAAAATATTATTAAAATAATTCACGTCAGTATAGTTCTTTTGAATATATTTGTGAAAGTTTTTGTTTTTCTCACATTTTTATTTAAAATTTCTAAACATAATGAATTTATGTTTTAATCTATCTTATGACCTCTTATTGTCAAACTGTCCACCTCTACAAAATATCATTGGAAAGGAAGGTTTTATTCCACTAATTGACCAAAATGCATTTCCAACATTAAGACAGATAATGGGTTCTAATGGTCACTTTCTCAATAATTCAATTTTGATTCCACTTAAACTTCTTCACGCCTTCATCGATATAATGATAATAACAAACCAAATATTAAAAGACAAATAAATAAATATACAAAGATCAATTTCACTTGAATACTAGATTAGTCTTTAAAATTCTATGCTTTTGTAATTTTAATCATTATGAAAGTGAAATTCCAATTGCTAGTACGAGATAAATTATCGTGCAAGTTGAAATTTGGTTCGAAAAAACATATTTTGAAACTTCTTAATGCAATTCCACGAATGAGAACATACAAATGTTTTGTGACCATCATATTTATATAGTGTGCTTGTATATATCACAGAGAAAAGTAAGTTATGCATTAGCCCATATTTGGTAGAGATCAAAATTGAGATTTTAATTTAAATCAAAACCAACAATTAATTTTAATCGTATATTTCATGAGATACATAACTTCTCAACTACACATTTTATCAACTTTTATCAAAATTTGATAAAAATTTGACACTAATCCCCATCAAATAAGAGCAAAGGGGGTGAATTAATTATAAAATTTAAATAAACAAATATAGCTCACTTTATGGCTTAAATTATCTAATCGAGAGAATTCATCCAGCTAAATTTATTCAATTGCTTTGCTCATGTTTGGCCCTAATTCTTTAAAACTCTTTTTTGTCCAAACATATTTTCAATCGCACATTTATCAACTTTTATCAAAATTTAATAAAAAATTAATTTTTAACCAAACTAAGGCAAAATGTGATCATTATACTTGTTATGATAATATAATGGTATTGAAGAATGAATGGACACAAATGAGTACTCTTTCAGTAAACCGCACTCATCGGTCTTTGAACATTGCGTTTCGATCACATACCATAATTGGATTTACTATTGAATCACTTTATACACAAAATACTCATAAAATATCTTTCTGTTCGTATTTATATGGATTAATTGACATCTCTATGAAAATTAATTATTTTTATTTTCTTTTCTAATATTCAAATGAACAAACACGTCTTCAAGCAACTTAATCCAGGCCATATAATTGGAGAAGGAAAATAAAAACTATTGAATTCGAGAACACGATTAACATTTCATCTCTTGATGCAAGGCATTCACGAGAGCGAGCATATGTTGTAACAAATAGTGTTTGCGGTGGATTGATTTGGACTTTGTTGTCGATGATAAAGGGCTTGTAAGCGCATCTTCTATTAACCACGATTTTGCTATTGACTGCAATTCTTTTAGAGAATTAATTGTCTTGCCCTACATGAGTTCTCGATACGATAGAAGACACAAAAAGATACATGGAGATCGAGATTACATAAAAAATTACTAAAATAATTCACGTCATTATAGTTCTTTTGAATATGTTTGTAGAAGTTATTGTTTTTCTCACATTTTTATTTAAAATAGCTATATATAGTGACTTTTATGTTTTAATCTAAGTCATGACCTCTTATTGTCAAATTGTCCACCTCTACCAAATATCATTGGAAAGGAAGGTTTTATTCCACTACTTGATCACAATGCATTTCCAACATCAAGACAGATAATGTGTTTATAATGGTCACTTTCTCAATAATTCAATCTTGATTCCTCTTAAACTTCTTCACGCCTTCATCAATATAATGATAATATCAAACAAAATATTAAAACGCTAATAAATAAATATAAAAGATCAATTTCACTTGAATACTAGACTAGTCTTTAAAATTCTCCGCTTTGGTAATTTTAATCATTATGGAAGTGGAATTCCAAATACATTGCTAGTATGAGGTAAATTATTGTGTAAATTGAAATTTGGTTCAAAATACATATTTTGAAACTTATTTGGTTCCAAATACATACAAATGTTTTGTAACCATCATATTTATATATTGTGCTTATATATATCATGGAACAAAATAAGTATGCATTAGCCCATATTTGGTAGGGATTAAAATTAAGATTTCAATTTAAGTCAAAGTTACTAATTTATTTTAATCATATATTTCATGAAATTCATAACTTCTGAACTATACATTTCATCAACTTTTATTAAAATTTTATAAAATTTTGACTTTAATCCCATCAAACAAGGGCTAAGGGGATGAATTAATCATAAAATTTAAATAAAAAAAAATATAACTCACTTTGTGGCTTAAATTATTTAATTGAGAGAATTCATCAAGCTAAATTTATCCAATTGCTTGGCTCATGTTTGGCCTGAATTATTTAAAATTCATTTTCAATTGCATATTTATCAACTTTTATCAAAATTTAGTAAAAAAAGAAAATTTAACCAAACCAGGGCAAAATGTGATCATAATACTTGTTATGATAATACAGTAGTATTGAAGCGTGAATAGAACGAATGAGTACTCTTTCAGTTTATAATTTCATTTGGGGCATCCTCGCCTTTCAGAATATATCATAAATGACGAACAACGATCAAATACCAAAATTAGAAGGCTATATCCAACAGTGAAGTCAATCAAACGCTATGGCTCCTTGTGAAAAAATAAAAAAGAGAGAGGAAATTCTTGGATCAGATATCAAGAACGAGAAATATTTCTGTTACCCCAGTCTTTTTACATCCACGAGAGAAGATTAATACAAAGGTCCGTCAAAACCTGTAAGAAAGTTCAATTTATTTTCGAGTAATTAGTGGCCAACATAAGAACAGACTGTGTTTCACTAATACCTCGGCAGCAGCTTAATTTGACCTGGGATTTGAAGATGTAATCTTTATAACAAGTCCAGGAAAAACATCATCCGGATCATGGATATGGGGATTGCGCTCGACTATATACGGGTCACCACATTTATCGCTGATGGTATGAAGGGTTTCTCCTTCTTGGACGACATAGATTTCGTCGCAGGGTCTGTCCTGAAGTTGCCTTCCTCGCACCCGATCATTTGCAGTGCCATCTCTTATGGAGCTCAATAAAATAAAGGCAATCAAAGCTATGGCACAGCTCCATGAAACAGCATCTGCTATCGCCACTGAAGCTTTTATGGTTCTGTATTTTGAAGGGGAAACCATGTTGAATGGAGTTTTTGGTCGACAGGTGACGACTTCGAGTTGAAGGGGTTGGGCGTGGGGTGGGGAAAAACTACAAAGGGGTTTTTATCGTTGATGAGGAAGATATAGTGGAAGTCTATTTATAAAGATGGTCATTTGGATGTCATTTTGTGGGGGGTGGAGTGAGGGGATGAGGTCTACTCTTTGGAAGTTTTGATTTACGGCAAGTTGTGTTCAACTGCAAAGTTGAAAGGCATTTGAGAATAAGATATTTGTGTGTAAGTGGAAGTAATATAAAATATAAATAATAATTATTTTGTCTGGTCATTCTAAGTTTTTTGATTAGTTAATTATTTAATATAATATTGAAGTAGAAAAATGTACCAAATTGATCAGTTTTACATTAAGAAATTCAATATAATTAAATAAATTTATTTTAAAAATAATTTAAATTTTTAAATAAGATCGTTGCTGAATAATTTGACTGCTAACCAAAATTTGTTAGAGCATTAAAACTTAAAGGGCTCTTTATTATTGAAAATAAAAAATAAAAAATACATTATGTGTGAATTATCTACTGCATGAAACAATAATCATGCAGGAGTGCAGATTGAACTGGTAAACTTCTCATGGGTGTAATCTAGCCATCAGTAGTGTTTGGAAGAGAAATGGTGCCAATGCTGAAATGGTAGTTGTGATGTTCAAAACAATGTTTACTTGTATGATGCAATAAACTTACTATATTTTTATAGTGCATTAATAAAGTGGTTGTTGTATTTGTATAAACAAAACTGCTGTATTTGAATAAAAAAAAAAAAAAAAAAAGTGCAGTTGAAAACTTAATTCATCAATACTGGACAATGGTGGATGGTCTCTACGTAATAATTTTACAGTAATTGGATGACAGTCTTCGATGTTGCCATCCAAACAGATTGTAGTATTCTTCATTATA